AGTTCTATTATTTCATTTTCAATAGTTTTTACCTTTTTTTTTTACGGAATTGTTATAATTTATGAATTGCAAATTTAATTAAATAATTTGATATATATTATTTTATGTGAATTAGTAAGAATCACTGTTTTCAGACAGCATTGGCCGTCTTAATGAAAAATAGCGCTCAGGTATTCGGAAGCGCTGAAAACGTTTTGAAAAAACGATTATTTGCCGATGTCACCAACTGGTAGAATATTTCCTATTTGAAATTAAATGATAAATTAAGCATCAAATAGCTCACAGTTGACTTATTCTTCCAATTAATAATGCATTCGGAAAATAATGCAAATATAAAATTTGAAAAATGTGAATTTTAACTGCTTTGTTAGATAATTAGATTTTTCAATAAAAAAATTTAACTTGCGCTCTCAAGAAGAAATAGCGATAGATCTTATAAAATTTTACAAATAAAAAAAAGTAACTCGGCGTAAGTTTAAGCTTTAGTATGGCTAAATTTATAAGTGTCTTAAAATATTGATTCATTTTAATGGAAGAGACGCATCAGTTAAATGAAAGTTTAGTATTAGCGCTATTTGTTAGAAAGAATGTAAAGTATTATTATTTATTTTCAGCCAAAATAGCAAATGTCAAAGGCGAAATATTCAAAAGAATGACCGACTGCAAACTTCCATCACGGATTATGCTGTCGTCAAGCATAAGCAATCAAATTTTGAAAATTTGAAGAATGAAGAAGCTGCGAAAAGCTTGAAACAAAGTGAATGTATTGATAAGATATCCCTTTACACTCCTCGGTCAACTTCTGAAATGGACACAGAAGATGAAATGATGGACGATTCATTGTGTTCCATTCAAAACGACAGTGATATCGAAATGCATGAATTACAAAGTCGCTTTAGTCAGACACTCGGGAAGCGCTTCAGTGTGGCGCAACAGGATACTCGCAAAAATATGCAAGAACCATTGATTAAACGGCGGAAAGAAGTAATTTAAATAATTTATCAAAATGTTGAATTTAAATAATTTATCAAAATGTTAACCTTTGCAAGAAATGCTTGAAGCCTAGAAGACTGACAGTTTGAGTTATGTCGAAATTCTCTTTCTTATTAGAACAGAGTAATGAAGTTAATCTCATCCCTTTGCAAAGATAATGTTTTTACATTTATCGAGAGACAAAGATTAAAAAATTAAGGATGAAAAGGAACAATTAGAAACAGAAGCTGAAAGTAGCAGCAAAGAGCAAAATAAGGAAAATGAAATGGAAAAGGCAAACGAGAATGTGGATTGTTTTTTTAAATCTGTTAGTTATTTAATTTCACCCATTAAAATTAACTTAAATTGCAGATTTGGAAAATATTAATCCAAAATTTTGTAGATGATCAAAATCACAAATTTGAAATTCTTCAAATTATAATTTAATTTGATTTTATATATATATATATATTATTACGCCTCGTATGCAATTAGCGTTTCGATAAAATTTTCCTTTAGCAACAAAGTGGTAATAATATTAAGCATAAATTTATTGATTTCCAATTTGTTTTAAAATTTTTTTTTTAAATATTTTCAAAAACGATAAAATTCTCAATATTTTCAGAAATATTCATTAGTAACTGTGCAAAAGCCATGTATCCTCACAGCTGGTTTTGCATGCATTGAAAAAGTCATCCTGAAAGAGTTGCTAGGATCAATGAAATCTCAGGAATTCATCGAGAAATACGCTCTTATCGATTGCCGATATCCATATGAATATGAAGGTGGACATATTAAGGTAAGGAAGTCATCCAGAATGAAGAAGTTCTATACTTGATAGAAATTTTACGAAGTAATTTGTAAACACTAAAATTAATAACTCATAACATATAATTTTGGAGTATATAAAATATAATGCATCATTAACTTAAATTTATATGATATACTTTTTTTTTTTCAAATGTCACCAATACGGTACTATTGAGCGTGACATATATATGTGCTAGTTATTTTACAAATAGTCTTAAATGAATGTTAAGAATATTTACTTCGAATAAGTAATGAATATAGATGAAATAAGTATTTATCCCTATTTCAGGGAGCGTTAAATATTTATGATCCTGTGGTACTGGAAAATACTTTTTTTCCTGATTGTTCAACTAAATTTAAAATAATGGCTAAAAAAATTCCAATATTTTACTGTGAATATTCAAGTGCTCGAGGGCCAATGCTGTATGTTATTAACATATTTGTTTATTTAATCAAATTTTGTACATTTATCATTTGTTTAAGATATAACTTATATAATAAATTAAATAGGACAAACTAATTCAATTCTATTATATTCATTTCCAGATTTCCAATATAATTTCTGATATTGGTACCGTAATTCCAATGTAAACAAATTGTCTCTTTTCCTGCAGTTGTAATACTGCATGAAAAGAAACAGTTTTTTATTAATTATTATGTCAGCTACGCTAATTACATCAATTACTACTATTAGAATAGATTTCATTTCAATTAATTTCACAAGAGAATTTTGATGCCAAACTTTTCTTACCGAAAACTAATAGACAGATCTCTAACTTAGAAATATAAGAAAGAAAAATAGATATGAACCTAAAATTTACTGCTCTGTGTTACCAAATATTAGACAACTTTCTATTAATTACTAAATTATTGTTTATAGTGCATCACATTTACGGAAAAGTGATCGTGTCCGGAATTATTCCAAATATCCATTTCTGTATTACAATGAAATCTACGTTTTACAAGGAGGCTATAATGCTTTCTATAATACTGACGATAATTGTTTCAAGGTAACTTCTACTATATTACAAATTCTTAAAAATTAATGGTTGAACTTGAATCATTAACTTTTAACCTTTTGAATTGTTATACAGGATTTATGTGAGCCAATAGGTTATGTGTCTATGCGAGATAAGAAGCACTCGGATGTACTCAAAACATATCATATGCATAATATGCGGAATGGAGTTGGTTTCGAAACCGGAATGTTTCAAACAGCAGTAATTAGAAAAAATACCGATTTTCGTCGGACATATTCAGTTCCACAGATGCCAGAATCACCAACTGCTTCAGAATTTTCTTCTGAACGATCTCCCGAAAAGATTCGTCCTGAAATTGCTACAGTACCAATGCTTGCTAATCCACGTACACCAACCGGACGCAAAAATACTCGTTGAATTTTGATCGCTGAACGGAAAGCTTATCGCTCGTTAGACCATTTATAATTAAATTTTTCCTTATCTTTTGATATAATGTAACGTTCATTATAACACTTTTTTGTATATATTTTGGCATTTTAGCCGACAAAAACTTTTTTTTCATTAGAAAATAAAAAAAAAAAAAACAGAAAAGAAAAAATTTTTTTTCTCAAGAAATGATCATTTGTGATGAGGATTTTATATACAAACGCTACCATTTTGTCGGATAAGTTTGCAAATGATTACATTACAATCAGTTCCTACGTTTAGATTCAATTCCTGATCAGAATTTAATCATTTTTTTCCGGTTTACTATGCTTTGTTACATTTTATTTCCAATAATTATTATATTTGCAACTATTTTTGTAGGGGTATGCTTTGGTTTTGTTTATTATTCCGGTTTATCATTATCGGATTTCCACTGCTACTTTCAAACATCATTCAGTCTTTCTTTACATTTATAATCCAGTAATGATAGTTTTGTAAAGCATAAATCTTGCTTTTATGAATACTTCCCATTCTAATCAGACACTGTTATCATTACTCGATTATAAATATAAAAAAAGTGACACAGATCTGAAACGTTTGGAAGTACCAAGTTAGTACTTTATTGTTTGCAAGGATTTAAGTTTTGCGGTTCTTTTCCGAATAACGTGTTTCAAGCAGCTAAAAACATTCCGAGATTGCTCTCTTTCAACCCGGTTCCACTATCACATCATTTTGTTATCAACTCTTATCATGTCGCTTGTACTTTGCTTCCATATGGTAAACTGCCATGATTGATCTTATTATTTCTCTTTCTATATCAATTAATTGATTTTTCCATGAACAACTCGGTGATTCAAATTTAAGCTTGAATATCTTCTTTCAAATAATTATTATTTATTGGAATAAAGATTACACAGATTTAATTAGACTTTATAAAAGACAAGCTGAAATCAGTATGCTTCAAAGAAGTAAAGAAATAGTGAGCTTAGAGAGTTGGTGAAATTAATTTCTTAAAGTAAACAACGCAAGAATTTGTTCAAGTCAAGAGTTAGTGAACAATTATCCAGTAGAAAATAAATCAAAATTTTCGGTTTCACTTGCCCCTTACTCTATTTTCAAAAGTAACGTGATGAAAATAAAAAAAATGACGACATAGCGTATCGTTTTTCATATGTCGATTTTATGAACCATAAAATGCAAATATGATCTTGAATCATACAAATCAGTGATGTGTTTCAATATAACCAAAAAAAAAAAAAAAAAAAATATTATGATGTGCAGGACTTGGATTTTTGAAGGTTAGTATAGCAATTGGAACCAACAAAGAAACCTTCTACTTTTTACTTGCATTTCTAAACGACAATAAAAATCAAGAACGCCAATGGATTCAAAACCGCATATGTCAACACCAGAGATAACATCATATAAAAACTGAGTGAAATGGATAAAGCATTAAATGATAGCAAAATTAGGATATTAAAATGAGAATGTGATCCTTAATGGATGTTAATATATGAAACATTTCATAAAATTTAATGAAATAGATCTCTTTCATCATTTGAAAATCAAATCCATTCAGAAAAAAGTAATCGCAAATGCTGTATTATTTTAATCCTTCGAGGACTTGAGTAAAACAAATATCATGAATCTGATTCCAAGTTTTCGAAAACAATAAACGTAATACTGAAAAGCACTATTATTCCAATTCTCTTTTGTCAGTCACCAATAATAATAGATGAAATAAAATAATTAGAGCTATTACAGCAATGATAATGAAACAAATTTATGAGAAAATCTTTTAAAAAATTGAAATTAATTCCAAGCAGATTTGTTTAGTCGTTGCTTCGTGAACTGACGTACGCCATCATTTTTTTGATGCCGGAAATTGTTGCGTGCAGAGTCTAAGAAAAGATGCACTCAATAATTGCAGCTGACTGTCCCAACTACTTAAGTTAGATTTTTTTTAATCAAATTTTTTTTAAATTGAGCAAATAGTGTCGAGAACAAAATTTTGCACGTGGAATAAAGGAAATAATGCTCAAACCTTGTTTCATAAAGTGTAGTAAATTGCCAATGATGAACAAAATATGCAGAAGCAAAAATAGGAAAATTTTTAGACCACTTTTTTTATTACACAATTTGGTTAAAGCTAATTTTTGAAACGCACCTCGTCGACTTCTTTTATCATACGGTGAATGCATTTTTCTACCGCTTCCACAGTGATCCTCAACTTCCAATGCATCACTTATTTCAATTATATTGTTCACATCCTCGTCATCATCCGTGTCAAAATGATCCATCTGAAGGTTTAACTAACTTTCATGTTAGAAAAAGTATAAGAAATATGCATGTTATGGAAATAAGGAAGAATAGGTCAAAAACATGAGATAGTATTTTTATAAACATTTGAAAACTGATCTTTTTTTTTTCAACTTTATGATAAAAAGATAGAAATATGAATCTTTTAATTTATTAGAGTTTTTCTTTCAAGAATAAAATCATTAAAACTTAAGTTACATAACGAATGATGATACAATTATAAACCAACCAAAGATTAAAAGTCTGATGAAAAATATCGAATTGATTTGATTAAAAATTAACCTGATAACGTGCTTCATCGAAGACTCGTAGTGGCCTTTCCTCCATGTGATGACATCTTTCTTCTTGGTAATCGCTATGAGAGTTATCTTTTGAAAGCATATTATTATATTTGATATTTTTTGAATAGTAAGTCATTGAATTCCCTGGATGATAACAGGATTGCACGGATGGATCTAATCGTTTGCTACACGCCATATTGTGCTCTATCTCATCGTCATCACTAAGCGCTAGAAAGTTTATTCCTGACGGAAAACCATTCTTTATATTCCTTCAAAAACTGTGCCATAAAAATGGCTTTGCTTCAGTGAAATAAGAGAAATATAACATCAAAGAATATACATTCTTCCTGAAATCGCTAAGTGTGTTTATTATTTATTAATAGCAGAAAAGAGTACATGGTTGTAAGATCTTGCAACTGTAAGGAATTTAAGGGTTTTTTAAAAAAACAGTTGAGAATATTTACCAGGAATGATGCCATGTCTTGCCAAATATTTCCTAGAATCGTAAGAAAATGCACATGATGCAGGCGGATTTTCACAATGCTGAATTTGTTCAACAGTCATTTGTTTCATTACTCGCGTAGTACTTCGAATCACAGGTGAAATAGGGTGCGGTTTTTTTTCATGTCGTCGGGATGGAACCCTCAAATATCAGAGAGAAAAATATTAAAGGCCGCTCATACTTGTTTTCATTATATTCTCTACAATGCTGATTGCTTGAAGGCACGTGAATTTAGCTGAAATGCTGAAACAGATAGTCCTTTGAAAGCAAGTAATTGCAGATAAAGCTGTGTAATTCTTTTACTATATGTATTTATTACAAAACTCTACTAAGTAAGCATAATTAGCAGAACTAGACCTGCCAGTATCTCCTTTATTTTGGTGTGAGGCGAAAATGTCGAGACTTTTGTCTCCTCCACATTTCATTATGGCTTCATCAATTAAACGTTTAAATTCTTCGTTTTCAGCATATTTTCTTTTCATTATAGTCCACTTAAGATCTTCTTTGGATGAACCGCCAGTAATTTTCTTGCTCTGCAGTCATACTTCACGCTGTGAGACTTAAGAGTAACATAATGTAGAACTAATAGGACTTCCTTTCCTTTACATTTTTTAGGCAATGGATATGGAAAGAGTTCACGACTTTACCTATTCTGCTGAATGGTTCCATTAACTTTCTGAAAATGACACTGCTTACGCCTCAAATTATAGTATCCTTCACTAATTCATAACCAGTGTCGTCAAAAAAAATTAGTTTAAGCTAGCTTGGAAATATATACTAAGTTCCAACTAAAGATGAAGCTACTTTTTATTGAAGAGAAGTAGACACTCACTGAATTTGGAAAAAGTTCGCCATATACTGCAGGATTTTCGTCATCGTTTTCAGTGATGTGTTCCAATACAGCTGTCTGCTAAACAATGAGAACTTATTTGTATTCCATAAGAAATTCTCAGTTTCTATCATAAGAAAATCATTGCTGAAAATTTAAGCCTAGTCAAATTACCAATATCTTTACAAAAATTGGGATCTAAAAAGACAACAACGTTAGGAGGTGTATTTTCTTTGCCACGATAACGCATATCTGTCTCAATTCTTCTTTCACATTTTTTGGTGTCCTCGTTACTGCTTCCGGATAAAATATTAAACTGTGCCAAACCACTTAGCATTTTCTGTAAAGTGAGCTTTCACTTATAAACGGCCACAACGAATAACAATAAAAAAAATGTAATAAAAAAGTAAGTGCTGAAGGAATTCCAATTACTATTAAAGATAGAGAAACGTTTTCAGAACAGAGAAGAAAGTAGATTGTATTAACTGGCTGTGTAGTAAAAAGAATTTAACAACGATAAAAACTATACCACCTTCATCGACTCTGTTAGTTTCAATAATTGACCACTTCTTTCTGAATCCCTCATTGTCAGCTCATCGATTTTTAATTGCATTTCATGCATTTCTTCTTTTAACTTTTCAAACTGCAAAATGTATAAATGTTTACAGTTACCTCAGCAAAGAATTTTGTCTCATGGTTTATGTCAGTAATGTTCTACGCTTCTATAAACCTCTGATTTAATGATAATACAGTCACGTTCAGTGCTTCCGTGATCGTTTTACTTTGCTTCAACTATATGCTGCAACGAGCTTACTCACGTAAAGAGTAATGGATCGTTATTTTTTATAAATAGATTCGTATATTCAAGACAAAAGTATTTAAAATGTTACTAAATCAAGTCAACCTCTCCTTAAACCTAATTATAAAATCCGTGCACTGATGAACTGAAAAAGTATGAACATACTACCTCATTCAAAAGTTGTTCATTTTGACCGCTTGTAGCCATTTTAGACTCCTTCTGAAAGCTTGAATTAACCAAAAATTTTCGATGTGCTCTTGATGTACCCTTAAATTAAAAAAGTTTCTGATAATGCATATATTCTTACAATTATCAGTGGTCAGAATACGGCGCACATATTACTGCAGAAAAGGAGGCTAATAAATAATCGTTTCATCGTCATAATTCTGTGAGCTAACTATTATAGTATGAGTGGGAAAAACCTCTATTGTTTGCGACACGTTTACAGTTCTTCCGAATGCTACTGTTTTCTTTTTTTGTAATAATCGTGCCGGAGCTGCTTGAGGTTTTTCCGTCTTTGTTGCTGTCTCAGCAGAGTGTTTTAAAACCAAAATTCGTTTTTCTTCGCAATCTTTCTCAGTATTTTTAAATTTGCCTTCAACTCTATTCAACGGTTTAATGGTCAATGTCTTCTTCAAAGCAGGACGCAGGGGTTGTGGCGAAGTTCGCGATTGAGGAATGGACCTGAAATGAAATAATTGAATTAAAGAATCTAAATTTTCTAGCAGCAAGAGTGAATGCACCTAAAGACAGTTGCGATAAAAATATCTGTATGAATCTTCTCAACAGGTTATTATCTATAAAAGAACTATTTCAACCAAGAAGAGGCTGTTTCAAATAGGAAAAGGAAAAATGAATTAAGAAGGGAAGATTTGCCGATTTATTAGTAACTTTATGATGTATAGACAGGCGAAGAAATATGATTAAACTTGAAAAGGAAATGAAAGAGGAAAAATAATCTTTTGTATTAGCACGCAGTAAAGTAGCTAATTTACAATGAAACCAGTAACAGCAAATAGAAACATAAAATACTTACTTGCAGTTACAGTCAACTCGCGCGCTAACAGTTTCAAAAGACGTTAGTAGTTCGGGAGAGAATAGATTTGATTGCTGAAATAAAAATGTTATGTCTAGTTAAAAGAAATACTTTGGTTAAGAAATTCAAGCAAAGAATTAGAGGAGAAAATTAGATTAAGATACCTGATTTTTAGTAGAAATTTCCAACTGGTTTACAGCTGCTGTTACGGGTAAATTGAAATCAAAATTTAAATCAGGAACATAAGAAACCAATGAAGTAAGGCAGTCTGGCCGGTTGGATGACATTATCCAAACATTTATGACGCAGAAATAAGAGGAAAAATTTTTTAGATTAAAGAGAAAACGACATAATGAAAGAGCACGCCTAAGCGTAGTATATCTGTTACTATAAACTATTAAGCAAAGCTTCTGCCTGCATTATTTTTGAAAAAAAGTGACCACGGGGACAATGGAACTACTTAATTCAGGAAAAAAAATAGATCGAATTCGCAGTATCCACCAATGGAAATCTGCAGAAGATGGATTAAATAAGATTGAAAATCCTATAGCTACTATAATGTCATATCAGTCCATATCCACACCTCCAGAAGACCTTTACAGTAGCAATCCAGAAAAACAGATTATGAAATGAAGAAAATTTGAAAAAAAAATATCAAGAAAAAGTCTTTTCACTGCTATAATAACGGATCACCCAAAATGAGCTGCGTAGGACTCCATGATGATTTATAATACGTAATACAAGTAATAAAATATTTTTCCGCATTCTTGATAATTGAAATAAAGCAAGATAATAATTCCACCATAATCAATTTCAGTCTTTTAGAGAGTAAAAGAAAGAAAAAAGAAGCGAGGGAAGTGCGAAAGAAGCTCAAATATAAATATCAACCGGAGAAATTTAGAATTATTTTGTAATCCATATCTGCAGAAAATGATGCAAAAAGTTGATAAAATGCTAATAAGTGTGTGATGGAATGCTAAAGTTATAAGAAACAGAAGCTGATGGATAAGACAGATACATTTTCATTCAACATGGTATCAAACAAAACACAACTATACTGCTCGAACGAATACAGAATCTTATATTAATCAGGATCCAATAATTGATAAAGTAAATGATTAATAAGTTTAAATAAACAATATATCAATACGAGATCAGCTCTATCATAACGAATGATGAAATACAATACAATGATTAGTAAGATTTCAACAGAAATGGAGCACTGTCATCACAACAAAAAATGAAGTGGAGATCGAAATTAGAACTAGAAAGTAGATGATGGTAATGCTGATGAAAGTATGAATGGCAAATAGGAAGAAGTCAAAACTATGAGAAGACTAACAAAATGCAACATTCATGAAATCTGTATGAAATAACTTTTGTATGAACCTCAATGTACAATAATGATAAGACAATACTACTACTACTGCCGATGTAATAATAATAACATTAGCGATGATAATAATAATGATACTAATAATGACAGATGAATTTTGGAGGACAAAAAGGAAGAATTCGAAATTACGAGAAAACTAATAAAACTTTCATGAGATATATATGGAATAATTATATATTGGTTTAAAAAACAAAAAGCATTAATATTTGATGAGAAATTCAGTAGATAAAACAACAAATTTACAACACACATATAAATATATGCAATTAAAACGTTATGAGGTATCATACAAAACTAACAAAACTGATTAGAAAAGGAAATGAAACAAACAATATTCTATCTCGTCTCAAAAAATAATGTCTTTACTAGGACCAGGACCCGGATCATTTCCTTTAAAATCATCATCACTAAACAATCGACGACAAGTACTCCTTCTTGGTGCATCTCCTTTTCTATCCCGTATAGGACGGCTCTTAGGAGTACTTGGAAACTGTGATGGAGACTCGGGTGAGCTCATAAATAAATGCTGCAAAAAATTACGCCACTCAGTGTTAGTTTCCTCAATTCTATATTATACCACTTCATAAAAGAAGCTCATTAAAGAGCACTGAAATAACTAACCTTCGGATGCATACGAGTAGGCGTCTTCATGTTTACATCAACTTCCATAGCACTTGTATTTAACTCCTTGCGCTGTCTATTATAGCGATCTCTTGCCAATGTATGATAAACTGAAGCAACTGTTCTAATGCGATGATATTTGTAATTCTTTAGTTCTTCTATATGTGCTTCATCATTCATTGCCACATACCCATTTGGTTCAATAAGATCCTAAACAGATCTACATATATATCGAAAGAACAATTTTATCAAATTTATTAAGGAATTTAGGAAAATCATAGGATTTTTTCAAAATTTCCAGCATATATATATATGGCAGTTGTAAATTAGAATGTGTTATGGTGATTAAAACCTTTTTACAACCCAAAATCTTTCATAAAGATTCTTACTGGTTCGTTACTAAAACACAAGTAGAAATTGCGATAACCATATTCCAACAGATACATTTCCGGATAATCTACCGCTGGATATCTTTCAAAATTGAATTTACGATCAAGTGCACGCAATTCATATGCTCTAAAAAATAATAAAAGGCAATTCTTCTCTTTAATCCTAATTGAGTTTTATCAGACATAAATTTTGCATTTAAGTTTATAGTACTTAGTGAAAGGATTGACATACATTGAAGGTCCTCGTTTTTGCGAAAATTCGCAATAGAAAATCGGCTTTTTGCTCATTAATTGTGCTCGTACTCTGATATTATCAGGATAAAAAACCGCTTCAACGTCAGCTGGATCGAATAAGTTATAAGCACCCTGCGAGATAACCGTGGAATTTGACAAATTAGAAAACTCGAATGAGTTTACAAATATTTCGTACTTAAAGTTTACAAATATTTCGTACTTAAATCAGCATTTCCGTGTATGTGTTGCTCCTTCTAGCAATAATTTCTAGGAAAAATGAGAGAAACAAAAAAGGAAGACCATCCAATATGTGAAATGCACGTGAAGTTTAACTATCATATTCTTATTTCTCATGGTATAGCAGTCACATCAGAGCTAGTAGATATCCTAAATACATTGATTCAAAATTGTGATTTAGGTACTATTATGCTAATAACCAATATAAAGTTGCTTTGCAAAATGGAAGAATTACGCGAATATGTCCACCCATAAACTCGAATGGATAACGACAATCGATAAGTATAAATCGTTCTGCAAATTGTTCTTTTGTCATCGACCTGAGCAAATCGGCCAAAGTTTCTGCACTAATACATGCAAAAGCACTTGAAGAAATATCCGGATTTCTAATTATATCCAATTCATACTTCTAGAAAAATAGCAGCATTTGCTTTTGAATATCTTGCTAAGCTGTTAAATTTTATACCTTTGGTGTCGAGTGGCATGTTCCTTAGAATGTCTCAAAAACAAAAACCTGGACGAGTTCCTTAACAGAGTGGATATCAGAAACTCTCTACTACACCCCTTCAAGTAATCACTTTTTTATGAGGATTTTCAAATGCTAATCGAACTACCTATTCAATAACTATGACATAAGAGTGACATACAACATCAAGATGAGAGGGTGGTTCAGGCTCTTTGTTGTCACCTGTTTCCATAAAACTTGACGAATGAGATCGATTAAACATAGCTGAAGGAAATGAAATATTTCCTTCATCATCCAAATTACTTTCATCCTAAAAATTCTGCGATTATTTGGTAAACGATGGAAAACAGATACAGTTCAGCTATTTAAAAGCATTAAAACAAATTGAAGTAATTCTTCAATTAATATGAATTAATAAGCTTTAATTTTTTTATTAATAAGCTTAGAGGAAATTTTCCATAGCTTTATTCGTATTTATTTGACTAGAATCTCTAAAATCTGATCATACCATGCAATAATTTTTCTCGGTTAAGCAAATTCTAACCATGCATAATTGCGTTAGTGAAGCCAGATTTCAACGAAAATGTTCAGACAAATTCTATAATTATATCTCGAAAAAAATTTTTTCAAAACTGTTATAAATATTGAAGAAATTACTTCAATTGCACTGTCCTGACTAGCTGGAGATGGTTCAGCCATATCAATTTCCATTCCTTCTTCAAAATTTTCATCAGTCCTACCATTATCGCTTTCTTCCGCTGACTCGTCGTCTTTCACCCTTTTTGCGCTATCAGTACTACCCGTCTCATCAGGTATACGACGCTTTTTATAACGAGATTCCAGCTTATTTGGGGTTGACGTTGACGGAAGTGAAGGAGAAATCAAGCTGTTGCTACTGGTACCTTGCAGATGCGCTCGGAAGCTGAATTCATTTTCCAGATTTTCAAGATCATCTTCATCATCGCCTCGACATTTCTCAATGGCGCTACATTCACTAACTGTCTCGCTATGTCTAAATTTCATTAAAACTGATCAAAGTTCCTATTCTAATTACCTAAACCATTAATGTTGTGCATTCTCATTTACCGTGTAATTGCAGTTGGAAATAAGTTGGAAAGTTTGTCAGAACTACTTCTGCTTGATGTTCCCCGCACGTTTTTGAACCGATCAAGTCTTTTGAAAGCAGGACGCTGTTGAGTGCGTTGACACTGTAACTGCCTTGTCCTGCTGTGATCACCAAGAGAACTTGATTCATTTGAAACACTCGAGCATCTCTTATTTGGAGTTCCAGTCGTAATTTGCGAGAAACTGCTTTTATCTGGAGCTCAAAAAAGAAATATCAATATGAACTCTGTTAGAACCAATACTTTACTAGAAATATTCAAGATTTTGATATAAAAAATAAAGAGTTCACTTGATAGATTTAATGGGCTGATGATCTGTGAGTATTTCGAGTATTTAGAGGTATTTTCCATTGAGGAATGGTCGAGTGGCAAGAAATGAAAGGCTGCAGGACGAGATCGCACTACAGGTGTTCTGAAAATGATGTCATGATAGATACGGTACTTCTTAAAATATACTCTTTCTTTTGTACTGCCAACAACAAGACAGGTGAGTTATTACAATAACAAAATAAAACTAATATGTACAAAAGCAGTCAATCATCCCAAAATATGCTCAACCTTCAAAGAGAATAATAATAAATTCATTTCTTTTCGTATTTTTATAAATTTATTCTAAATTCAAAACTTTAACTGATAAAGGATACTAAAAGATTTATTTTTTACAATCAAAGACGAAATAAGTGAATGTTATAACAATTAAAAAATCGGTTTATATATATATATATATATATATAAAACCAATAGTTAGCCAAAATTTGCAGCTTAAAAATAAATTTTGAAATTGCTTAAAACTTACAAAACATTTGTAAGATCCAGAAGTGAACTGCGAACAATGTGTCGATCAAATATTTCAGAAGTTTGGTTAGAAGAATAGTCAGTAGACCCAAATTCAAATTTCTGCAAAAAAAAAAAATTTGTTCAGATGATTTCATAGCATACTGAACGACTTAGATAGCTCAATAAATGTTACTATTAAGAAGAAAAGGAATACCTCAATAAGTGATTCTTTCTCCATAACGTTATGACTAGTATTCAGTTCAGCAGAAACAGCAGTTTTTGTCAAAATCTGGGAAACTGTTGCAAAATTTTGATTTCCATCATTTTCCGATATATTTTGATCATCGTTAGAACATGGTAAATTCTGAAAATTGACGGCGGTAATAATAAAGCATAGTATTTCGAATAGTGCAAAAATAAAATTTATATGCAGTTTGTGCTTCTATTTGGACGAATAAAAAAACAATGTTTGGACTCATTTTTAATAATATTAAAAAGTATTGAAATTCTATTGTTGTATGAGTGTGAAAGTTAGTGAAAGTCAGTTAGTGTGAAAGTTTCCAACAATATATTCCGAATTGTATGCCCACTTAGAGCGAATAGAAATTTGGGCTAAAGTACGCAGTAACTAACAGTATTCATTCTATATCTCCAATATATAAAAGAAACGAAAAAAGCAGCCAGTTATTCCATACACTCGAAACTGAAACAATCAAATCCAATTGAAATAAAACGGCCATTGTCAACTGACCGATGATAAAAATTGACAGTCAGCAATGATCGCAAAAACATAGAGGAAAACAACATTTCGTCATTTTCTAAAGCTGATATAAGATAAAAGTTAATAATAAGGTTCATTAGCAATTTTTGGAACAGAGCATGATTTATGCTTTATGAAATCTCATCCAATTATCTTTACTGGTTATTATAATATAATCAGCAACAGAAGCAATGAGACTATATGACCTCTTGCGATCGGTCTTATCCTCCAATGATATAAACCATCGATACATATTCTTCAAAAATCTATCGCACAAAATGCCACAGGTACCGTTCAATTCAGTAACTGATTTCCGACTCATTACTCATCTAACAAATCAACAACGTCTAAAATCCTAATGGTTGTTCCAAGATGTCCAAATGAGACAAGTGCGCAAGATAACTACACCAACATAAATACTGCAATCCAAATGCCATCCACCCTTCGCGGGCTCCCTCTCTGGTCAAATTTTTGAACCTTTCACAATGCTCTTCAACGATGCGCCACCTATTGCAGCACAATACTGCCCATACTAGTCACAACAACTTTGATTAAATATCATTTGATGAAACTAATCAGTCACTAGAAAAGAACAGAAGAGATCCAGGTTAGCAGATCATATTGAACGAATGTTCTCGACTGATTCTACCAAGTTATAAAAAGTTCGAGTCTCTCGCATACCTGCTCACTGCATCCCTAAAAATATGCAATCACTCAATGATTTAGCAAGTTGTGTGTGCACTTCTCCAACAGTTCTCATACATTGACCAGCTTTTTATCTTATTTCATTTGCGAATCTGCAGATGAGCTACAAGGCACAACTCTTCAAGACAAAGGAAAAATCTATATTTGCTCAGCAAACAAAGCTAAGCAACGAAATATAGAACACAAAAGTTAATGTGATTCAGTTCTAGTAAATACCTCAAAGCAATTTAATGATGTGTCGGTAAACGATACTGGTGGTGCAGGATTACCATTTTGACAGTATGTCTTCTCCTGAACAATACTTCACTAGAGAAGCGTATACGATTTAAATTTCAATTCATCAGTGAAAAAATCCGTAAATCAATTTTCTGTTCTCAAGTGTCAGTTAAAATATATTCATTGCATATAATATTTCCTTCCACAGAACTGAACAAGAAGAAAACATAAGTGAAAGGTAAAAAAAAAAATGGAAAACACAGAAAGAAAAATGAAAGACCTTGTTGAAAGTAAACCTTAACACGATGAGCTATGCTTTCAAGAAAATCTAAATTGAACTGATTTTTTAAACAGTGTTTCACGAATTACTATAATCAATCTTTGTATTGGACATAAGTTTTTTTTTTTTTTTTTTTTTTTTTTTCTGGCAAATTTGTTCACTAACACAAAAATAAAAAAATGAAAGCCATTAGAAGGAATGAAGTTCAGGCGAAAATAAGCAAACGCACGAACTGAAATAAATAACTTTAAAAAATGAAGAGGCAAAAGAGAATATATCAGAAGATGTTTTACAGATCTGTAGGAAATTAGACAGTAATATTAGGAATTACACACAATTGCAAAAAGAAAAAAAGAAAAAAAAACTTCGGACTGATACTAGCACATTAGTTGCAAAACAGAATTCTATACAGTAAACATTTGAAATACTTATATATCGTTTGGCTGGAAAAAATCAAAAAAGGCTTGAGAGAATGGAATGGATTGGAAATAAACAAAAGTATTCAGAACTATTCTATAGTTATATTACTAAGCATTCAGATGCAAAACATCTCTAGACTACGGAGGAAAAAAGAGATGCACATCCATCGAAATTTCAAAATTAAATCTAGAAGCTAAAGATTTTAGGCTACACTGTATGAAGCACTTGAAATTTACGGGTAATCGGCATCAAAATCAAGCAGTATTAGTTTTGTGTCTTCCGTACCATTACGTGAACCTACTGCGCAAACTAGCATTGTTGGCGTCGATTTCAAACGCCATATACAACCACCGGAACCACCAGAACGAAGTCTAACTAGGTCACGCACAAACACACCTAAACTGTTGACTGCATTGTAATGAATTAAAAAATGAAATTAGGAGCAAATATATTGTAAATAAAATAATAAAGTTATAAGTTCATCAGTATAAATGTATTAGAGACCAAAAAAAAAAATCAAAGACCCATACTCTGATTAACCATTATAGAACAACGACTTGTATTAACTGAATTCTAATGGTTTTATATCCTGTTAACCTAACAAACTAACATACCCTGCTTGACATCCCACAGTTTAACCGAACCATCATCACTACTAGTTGCAACTAGTCCATTTTCGAGAAACTGCAAACTGGTGACAGCAGAAGCATGCCGATTTGGGCCAGACAGAGTGTACTTACACTGCCCATCCATGATATCCCAAATCTAAAACAGATTATCAGTAACATAGAAAAAAGCTCGCACGGAAAAAATCAAGAAATGTTTTTTTTTTAATAAAATAAGTAGCAAAAGAAATGAGTAAAATGAAAAAAAAAAAGAACAATAAACTAATTAAACAAATAATCAGTCAGTCAAATCATTTAAGACATAATCTGAATTGAATTAATTTTTTTTTTTTTTTTTAAACATAACTTTAAGTTACTTTAGTTAACTTTACTTGCAACTTTAATTTATTTACCCTTTAGTTTCATATAACTCCATAATTAGAAAACAAAAACCTTAATTGTACTATCAGCATTCCCAGAAACGAGAGTATTGCCTCGTAACTGCATGCCTGATGTTAAAGATTGATGACCAGTTAAAGTTTGTGTACAAATCCCATCACGAATATTCCATACTTTGATCGTAGTATCCAGACTACCACTAACAACTATGTCTCTTTCACTATCAAACTGCAAAAATATAAGTCACTGCTTTTCTCCAGCTCATTTGGACTATTAAATATACATCACTTTTCACAAATTTTATAAAAGTTAAAAATAAAAAAAAAAACAAAAATTAAAAAAATATAGGAACTTGTAAAATGATTCTCATCGCAATTGTAATAGAGAATTTGTATAAGAATGTGCAACACAACGGCAAATAACACATAAAATCATAAACGTTATGATAGCAAATAATTTTCTCACAATCATGAATGATCTGAAAATTGGAAATTAACTTACTAATAATGAATAAACTCGATTACTATGACCAGTTAGAGTGTGCAAGCATCTACCTGATTCTGCATCCCAAACCTGAAATATTTCTAAAATGCAACTGAATCAATATACCTTAATATCCAACAAAATTTTGTAGTTCAATCTTTTTCAGCTCATAAAGTATTGATGAGAATTGAACGGACAAATTACAGCGAACTCTTATATTTTCAAATGAGTCATAAAATCAAATTTTATTAAGAAAAAGTATTTAGGAAGTAAGTATAAAAACCATCTCCATACAAAATATATCTAACTTCAATAGTATGTATCACTTGAAGGCATTAGCAATGACTACTCTGTAAACAAAAAACTAAAAATAATGAAAAGTGGACATGAGAAAACTGAAAAACAGAGATGTTCGCTGAAAAACTGGAAATTATAAACCTTGACGGAGAAGTCATATGCACCAGAAACAATACGTACACCATCGAACTGAACACAACGTACAGCTGCTACGTGACCTTGTAAAGTGCGTATACATGTGCCATCTTTGATGTCCCACAAACGTATTGACGTATCACGAGATCCAGTCACAAGTCTTAAATATTAGATTAGCTTACTTTTTTTTTTCCTTTGAAATATTTCAAGGTAAAATGAATAAAGTATCACGAAAGTAAATTTTAAAAAGTTATATGAATTTCTAATGATAAAGACTTACTTATCTTCCCTCAGTGTCATACAACGAACCGTACTTGTATGACCTTGCAAACAGTGCAAACATCGTCCTGTCTCAACGCACCATACGCGTACTGTCCGATCAGTAGAACCACTTGTGACAGTTTTACCATCTTCCGACATCTGAGATGACCAAACACCACCAGTATGACCCGTTAATGTTTGCAAACACTGAAATTCGAACAGTTAGTACTGTTAAAAAATATGAATTTAGTTAAACACAACTTGACGTAAGATTTCGAAATTTTAACTGCTTTCGAGTCTTCCATCAGTGATCTACAGTTGCAGTCTCAAGTCAAATATTCAGAAATAATAAAATGACACCTTTGTGGTTCGAAAGTTTAATCTGACAAGTAAAATATTTATGGTTTTAAAGATTTTACAACGATTTTATTATAGTCTAAACAACTTACTATTGCTTTACTGGCTGACCATATTTTTAATGTATTATCATCCGAACCAGTTACAATTAAATCCCCATGGATTTGCAAACATGTAATCACGTGTTCATCATGCCCCTTTAAAATACACGACCCACGAAGAGGACGGTAACGCCAATTGGCCAAAATACGCTGATGTCGCAAATAAAGTGCTTTCCATTTTGATCTATTTTAAAATACAGTTACTTTATTAATAATTCAAACTTTTCTCCAATCAAATGTCAATGCTTTTCCAAAACCTTCAGTTCGAAATCGTTTAATAATCGCGAGAAACAAAGTAACAATTACCTTGCTAAACAAACATTTTTTGGTGAGTCATCTGTGTCGGAAAAATACCTAAAAATTCTTTATCATCCAAATAATATGCGGATCAAGAGATTTCTTTTTTCGTAATAGTATGTAAAATTTTAGGGATCCACGTTAAAATAAAATTTTTTTAAAAAAAAAGACTTAAAATATTTTTAGCTCCACTAACAGCTTTCTACATGAATCATTTATTTTTGTACATCATTGCTCATGAAATAAAAAAAAATTCAATTATTGAGCAGAAACAAGCGTGGACCCATAATTTATCACAAAAATTTTGAAATATCCTCTCTCAATTTCTGAATACATTAAAAGTTACAAATCATGCTGATTATTATAGGCATCCAGAAGTTTCCAATGGGAATAAAACCAAAATATCCATAATAAAGAACAGAGTGAATCCCATAGTACATTCGAGAAACTTACCGAAGCCAATGCGGATGATAACCAGCAAACAATGCAAGGCGATAGCTAGGAACAGGACGATATCCAACAATTTCAATACCACTTGTTGAAGCTGTCTCAGCCCATGCACCGCTTTTTCGATCACTGTAAAAATGAATAATTAAACCTTTATAACTGGTTTTTTCTTCAAAACAAAATATCCATAAAATATCTTTTTTTTTTGTCGACTTATTTTTATTGCATTCATGAACTGATCCCAATTCTAACTGCTATTTACCTTGGCTCATCTATAGTTGTGACATTCACTTCCTCACATTTCTTCCGCCATAAACGATTATCTTCAGCTAAGTTACGCCAGTAACGACAAGTTAATGATATGCGAGCAATATCAGCAGGAGATAAAAAACACATAACATGTAGTGCAATCTAAAACAATTTCACAAGCGCAGAATAAGTAACATATTTGAGGAAATCAATTCATCATACCATCAGAATGGCCTATGACAGGTTTACTATCGGAAATAACAGGAAATTTCTTCTTTCATCACCATAACTACTTAATGTTAAAAATGGAACATTCCAAATCAAATTAAAAAAATCGGGAAACTTTCGTTCAGCTTACTTCTTTGGGTAATTCTTTAATGAAGTCTTTTTGAAAGAAAGGCTCAATCACAGAACGCAAATGTCGAATGTGATCCAACGAACATTCGCTAACCAAATCGGTGAGAGCATCCATTTGGTTGAGTGAAGAAAGCATCTGCAATTTCTTACTAAAAATCCACGAAAATATGGAAAATAACCATGAATAAGATTTTCAAACAAATCATTTTTTGAAGAAATTATAAGATCTATTTATCATTCTTCTCTCTTCCTTTTTAACAAGAACTTATGTTTGCGCATGTGTTTTCTAAGAATTATACATTAATATAATTAATGACAAGAATTAATAACAATACCAATATGACTGTAGAAATTCACCTTGAATTGTTTGATCCAAGTAAGCACATTTTCATTAATTTGATGTTCAGGTTCAACAGACTTTTCAAGGTCTTCTTTTTGTTCGTGATTTTCTATTTCATCTTCCTCATCATTATCCCCATCTCCTGGTGATTCCGGAGAATCCAAACAATAACCGTTTAGATCCGGATTATCACGATAATCAGTATATGGTCCTTCAATGGAGAACTGACATACCATTGCAAAGACTGATGTACTCTTTTAGGAATACAAAATCAAATAAAAAGATATAAAGAATTACTTACTTATTTGCTCACATGCACTACATTTTTGCAATAGACTTTCACACTGAGCTAATTTAGTAACTTGAAGAGGTGTAATGCATGAATGGGACGATTCCGAACGGTTACTCTGTGAGCATTCACAGTCGTCCACTTGTATCATCCGGCTGAAAAAAAAAAAATCATTAAAATTTTAATTTTATTCAAAAAAAAATTCAAGTTATATAAGAATGGAATACTATACCGATTCATGTTCACAGAAATATCGAATGAGAATTATTCCTGTTATAGTTTATACACAGCAAAAACATCCCTCATGAAATTTCAAAATTGCAAGAAAATATTCTGAAAGACTCATCTTTTCCAACTTTTGTCTTTTATGTTCATATAATGTTACATTATTCCAATCGAAATTATAAATTATAAGAAAAACTGAACGGCCAACAATGAAAACTTTTTGAATTCAAAATATTATCTTTTGATAATGCAATTATTATCTAAAAAATATCAATAAGAACAATTATACAATTTCAACAAAACTACAAAGCCCTTTCAGTACTCTGCTACGAATCAAAAGATTTCCTAACGATCTACGGTACAGTGAGAAGTATCCCCATACAATACTAAAGGAAAACTAAAATATCTGTATTCGCAATTAATTACAGTGAAACAGTTTTTTAAACCGATTCTCATCAATTCCAGCACTTCCAGTTTTGAACCAAACTGCACAAAAAAGGGAAAAAAAAATAGTGCTTTAGAACTAAATTTTGCAAGGCATATTACCTCAAGTTATATCACGTCAAAAAAGTTGACTTTATAGGGCATAATATTTAAAAAGAAATGGTGTCTGGAATTGAATAAATAGTGGTTAAATAGAAATTTGTGCCAATTATTTATGAACAAAGAAGATAAAGTTTAATTACTGTGCCATAGTTAACTGAAATGTGATAAAAAATACATCTATAAAAAATTAAGAAAAAACCGCTTATCTCATAAAACGCCATAAACAGAACACGTGACATATTTTAGACTTTATGCAAATACTTTATATTTCAGCAGAAAGGACTTAAATCACTAACTCACTAGCAATCTTATCTCTTTAATTTGCTATTCTGTACATAACCAATGCAGTGCATTGAATGACTTGAAATGAATGAAGATAATTAAGAAATTTTCAGACAAAATTTGCCAAAACCAAAGCTTGGTTTTGGAGTATCAGTGAAACAATTATTTCGTAATACTACTCTGCTGAAGACCTAGTTCTGAGCAAATGCGAATATTCATCATCTTATAAACAAAATTAGGGTCTTACTTTCTCACGGATAGCATTCGATAACAAAACACATTTACCTGTTCATAGCAAAAGAATATTTCACCTTCAAAACATGAAATTATATTTGTTCATTGTCACTAGTAAGAAGAAAAACAGGTTACAGAGCAAGCATTAGAATTTTTAGACATCAATATTCGAAACTAGTGTTCAGCAAATAAGCAAAGGAAGCAGCGATAGCTAGAAAGAAATGCTCAATGTAAAGATACGACTCTAGCGCTGGAGACTTATTTCAACTTACTTACAAACCACTTAATACATTTTCATATATCACCCTGGAATGTTTTTGTTGGATTTTCTAAGAATTATTCTACATAATAAAGATAGCACTTTTTTAGAATTTTTTAGTTAATGTATATCTTAGAAGCTATTATGTAGAAACTGTGGCAATTTCCAATGGAACTGCAACAAACTGAATCAACTTCATAAGCTCAGAATTACAATGACCAACATGCACAATGGAATATACAACGATATTTGGAGAACAAAAAAGTTTTCACATTATCGTAAAGCAATGAACAGAAACGGTAAAGCATGATTGTATTTTCCACTAAAAAACTTAACAGAGTCATCCAGACTAACTAGTCCATACTTTTTCAAGATTTGGCTTCATCAATACAGAAGTGTCTAATGAATCACAATCTAAAAGGACGTCAAAATAAAGAAAATAACTTACAAACAAGTTAGAAATTATGTTAAAAAATCCTTTGCTTACCTTAATGCCGGTTTCTTCTCCCTAAACGAATCATTGAACAGCGAAGATTTACGTTTCTGATAATGATGATCCCTAGGACATTTCAACAGGGCCTAAAAACTTTCAAAGATGAATCAAACAGATGTCAACTTCACAGCAAACATTCACGTTCATCTCATAAACTATACCAATTTATTGGATAAAAGAAGTAGTTCCACTTCATAAGTTAAGTAATGTCCATGACAGGATGAGGAGCAACTTGCTTGAATGAAAAAAATATCTCAAACGATGCAATAAAATGTTATTTACCACCTTTTTTAATAGCTGTTTTAATATACTTCAGAAACATACTGCTTTTAGTTAGAAAATAAAAAACATGTGAAAGAAATTCGGCTTGTAATGCTTTAGAAATCTCGTAATACTGCGAATAAACCTAACAAGAGGAGTAAAAAGAACAAAGAACTTTAGTTTAAAAAATCAAAAAGAAAAACCGACATCGTGTGCTTTCCGATCGCTGTAATGACTCCATGCATCAGAAGCTGATCGTTGCCTATTCCCATGGTCATGCTGAAGTGAATATTACATATATATATATATGTAATTATATATATATGTGAGGAAAATTGTACTAAAGAATCAGTCAACTTCAGTAATAAATTAGACACATAAGTGGCCACAAATATGATTTGAATCATTTTATTCTTTTATTTTGAAGTTATATTTTTAAACCGTAGAGACTTCCATCCATGCATATACCAAAATAACCAAATTGATAGGACTTTCAGCAAATTACGACCTTCGCTAAACTAAAGAATGACATGATTAATCAATGAGCGAAGTTAAAACATCAGTCTTTTAACTATTATAATAAAATAATATATGTAAAAAACCGATCTATGGACAAAATAAAGTGACCAAATTAATTTTATATTATCAGTTCATTATTCATTCTCTTTGCAAAAAAAGTCGTATTAGGGAAAAAACAAAAATTAAAGTGGTCTGATTTCAAGAGTTGAAATCAGATAATAGTCTGACTATTACAAAGAAAAAATAAGCATTGTTACTGTCATCTATCAAACCTCAATAACTGCAAATAAAAATTCGATTATAGCAGTGACTATAATGTAATCCTGTAATGTTTGGTGAGTTTTCTATTTAGTCCATGTCTCGTATTTTCTTAACTTCACTGCACCTCAGTAACCCACACCATACTTAAGCTAAACATTTACAAGAAAAGAAAAATTTTACAAACTCTACTTTAGATGAGGCGATATTAAATGACGTGTTTTGGGAGGAAATTCTACCACCATCGCTACTATTGATGTTGTTGCCATCTTGGAATGTAGCACCATCACAAAGCGACTCGGAATGTCCCGGATTAGACATTGATGTACATTTCTTAAAATTTTCAAAGGTGGATATATCAAGATGACCTGAAATGTTGTATTTCAGAAACCGATTCGAATATATTTAACGAAAAAACCAGGTTCCATTGTAAAGCAGAAATAATCCTGCTTGACTCTGTAATGAACATCTTACAACCCAAATATTAACTCGCTTTTCTATTTCAAATAACTAAGAACATTATCATTACATTAGAAATCCAACTGCGCAACTTTTCTGATAAGCAATAATCAATCATCCTGTTGCTCTTCTTGGTTTCTTTGAAATTTACTAAATTTCAAAGCTGCTTGAAAAAAACTTAATAGTGCGAAATATACAAGCATATCTTAAATAATTATTTGGTTAAATAGAGATTTAAGCTTTAACCTTATAAGTTAAGTATTAAAAGAATGAGGCAATACTTAAGTAAATAACAACAGTTTATTCATGCTCACAGGCATAAAAATTACTTACTACTACAAGAATTATTTATTAATTCAAAAGGAACCAAAATAACTTCAACTCCTCAACGCACTGTGGTAACTCGACCGACCCTCCACCGAGAGTCCATCTATTTTAGTGGCCAGCCACATCCTCACCAACTACACTGTGCAACACATCGTCCTGCACAAGTGATAATGAAACGAAGGAGGGATGAATTGTAGTAGTTAGTTCGGGCGCTGCTGGAATGAATCTCGGATTCGAGTGTGGTAAAAGTTGTCTAACATACCAATTCTTCTTCGTTTCATTTCTTCCTTTCAATATTAGCAGATCTTTGCTCAATCTCTCTACATTTATTATCATTATTCCAACTTTGCTCTACTAATTTACTTGTATTTTGATAAGTTAAACTGTCAGTTTGCTAAAGTAATAAAATGACCAAATAAACCGATTAGATTTCTTTATTCGACAGGAAACAAACAAACAAAGAGCAAAGAAAAAAGATAAAAGTGATAGTATTGTTTCTTCCTTTCCAAAACAACATAAATTTATTTAAATCTATTTCTAAGTTAATTTTTGAAATTTTTGAAACTTAGGATTTCTTTTTGAGGTTAATTTGTGACTTTGTAATAATAATAATAAATGAAATGAACTATTGCATATTGATTAACAATATGAAAACCAGAGAAATTAAAAAAACATTCCTTAGACAAAGTTAGAAATAGAAAAAACGATTATTTCCCGGGCTTTCCTTTTACCATCAATAATATCTATTCATTCCCATATAGTCTCAATTGCCGCTTTTTTTTTTTCTAATTCGTAAATTTGTAGAGGAAACAAAGAATTAATAAATCATTTATATGCTATTTTCATTTCTGATTGATCCTTTCTGTTCCTTCAAACTCTCAAAGTTTTTTCTTTTTCTTTTCATTCATTAATTCATTTCTGCCTTTTGAGAGAATTGCGCATTCCGATTGTTTAATTTTCAGTATATCATCCGTTTCCTTTCCCTATAATATTTTTCCGAAATTTATAGCATCAAATTTTCATTATGATTGATGTTGCTTATTGAGTTAACTTCTTACTCCCAAGCAAATTCTTTCGTAAAACAACGCACTGAATAATTTTATTCACTACAACAGCATTTGCACTCTATGACTCATTCAAAGTCATTTTAATATCATAATTTATTATACTCAATTCATAAAAGCTTCCTTTCCTTAATTTTCGCATTCTGTTTTCTTTGTGCTTAATTTACAATTGTTAGTTAGAGTTTAGTGACTTTTTTTTTTGCTTAATATTAGTTTAGGTTTTAAAGGAGTATTGGGATTCCAAAAGTTCTAATGAGTTCGACCAACGAAAAAATTCTTCCCGATTGATGGTCCGTTGACAGTTACGCTCCCTTACCTGTGCAATTCTTTTCAGATTAAATAACCATATCATCTTAATTATTTGGTTATTAATATTATGTAAAAGATTTATCAGAATTCTTAAAATCATTCATTACTGATCTTCAGTAATATTGTGATTGTACTTAACAGATCACTAATGTCATTAGCCACAGTACGGTCGTCATGCTACCGTATAGATCATTGGTATCGTGTCCATAGGTCTCTACATTAACATATTAATCTGATGAGAGTTCAGATTGTCCCTAGACTTAAACTGAAGTTTGGATTTGAGCTTAGGCTTAAGCTTGGACCTAAGTCCAGACTGATCATTTATATTATTAGTGATGCAGTGACCACGTTAGATAGATCATTTATAATACGTCATTGCAGCAGATGATCAATTATGTTGTTTATAATATAAGTTAATAGGTTAGCAAACGTTATGGGTTGTTACTAGATCAATTAATTCTGTTTCAGTAATTATCTCACTATCAATTTTTATCAGAATTTATGCCATCCATCTTATAACTTTTTAGTACTATGCAATATTAATAACATTACCAATATTGTTTATTTTTGCTTATTTGTTGCACATAGACCTTATTTTAACTTCTTTTAAATAAGTAATTTTAGAACTTATGCACTATTTATTTATTTTCCTCTCTTTTAAGCTAGTTTTCAATCAATGATAAGTCAAAATTGAATCAAATATTGGTGAACGATTTCCATAATGCTTAGAAATTATCACTAATAACTTTCAGCTTATGATAACTACAAGCTGTGTATATTTCTAACTAAATGCTTTTTCTTTTGTTTATATTTTATTTGAAAATTGTTCTACTTCCATTACAACAAAAAATGAAAAACAGAAGTTTTACAACCAGGAAAAATTACACTTATTTGTATTCATCGCAAAAATTATATGTTAAATAGATGTTAGTGGTTTTTTTATAAGCGGACTGAAGAAATTTCGAAATGATTGAACAAATTTTATAGGTGAAGATAACATTTGCCAATCGTTCATGCTTTTCTTCATTGAGGACAGGTGGTACTTTACTAATGTATTGCATAACTACTGGATAGATCAATTACACTGCTAATAATACCGCTAATCGTGAAATTATTAAATCAAAAATGTGGAACACCCTTTTTTTTAAAAATTTTTCTTTATCTTGAGAAATATGTAAGATTACAAATACTTAAAAATTTAGAAAATTGTTTGAGATAATGGTGGAAATTTTGGAGTTTTTTTTCCTTTTTCTGCTATGAATATCTTTTAATTTATTTCAATTTTCTAATTTATCGCCATTTTCACATTTATATTTACAATTGCACGAATTAATTACAACAAAAAATTCCTATCATGCTATGGTAACAATTTGTGAATGCAAGAACAAAAAATTTCTTAATTTCAGATAAGAAGCAAAAGGTCAACATGAATGAAAAGGAAAAAGTAAAATGGGAGCATTAAGCATTTATTTGTACTATCAAATAAACCAATTTTGGGTTTTATTTTTTTTTAAATATATGCTTTTCCTTTTCCTTTTTTTTTCTGTTACAAATAAATCAATGTTCTTTTGTCTGAAAAGCAACATTCTGCACCATCGACGATTAACGGTAAAAATTGAAGATTAAGTGATAGTCTAGAAATGCGAAAGATGATCAAAATAAAGATTTTTTAACATTTTAATCTAGTATAATTGCAATAGCCAATAATTATTTGATGATGTAATTGTGATAATCATAGGCTACAATTATAAATGTTATAATTATGATAGTTTTGAAAAGGATAACATCATTTAAACTTTATACTTTATACGCAAATTTAAGGAATGAAAAGATAAGTAAATTACAAAAATAATTAAGCAAACTGAAATGGAATGAAAAAAAAAAATTGAAATGCATTCAGGATTATCGACCAGTGAACATGTGACTGTTATACATCAAAGCGGTGATTTATTCAATTCACTCGCTAATATTGGTCTAAGGATAGCATCTGATAAAAAATTTAATATATGTGCAATATTTGGAAGTATTAAAGTAAATGTTACTGAAATGCAATTGGTTATTATGCAAATAACAAAAGTCATTTGAAGACTTTCTTGTGAATCTACTTTTTCAGTTAATTTTGCTGTTACATTTTGCGCTTTTTTCTCTGATCTAATAGATAACTTAGTGTGAGCTTGGATAGACTTGTGAAAAAAAAGAAGAAACAAATACGAATCACTTAAAATTAAGTTTATGAATGAAATTTTGGCTGTTTTTTAAAATGAATAAAGACATAAGACAGTAGAAGAGATCTATCTCGGCTAACGCAATACAAGCTATTTATCAACATATGTTATTCCATTTAAAATTCATCTATTTTTTAACTTAAAAGTTTCAGTTAAGAAAATTATTGCATTAATCAAAAATTTATATGCATACAAAAAGTAAAGAAATAATAGTTTGAAATTGGAGGAGGAGAAAATAATGATGATTACTGCGGATAATTTCATAGATCATGATATTGTGAAGCAAAACAAATCTAAATTTAATGTATTGCAAAAGACTCGTTTGTCTCTTGTCATATGAAAGTTTTGAGCAGAAAGAATGTACGATTAATTTCATTTTATAGATACTTCATTTAATAGATATTCTGTAATTTTATAACTATTTGATTTTCTCAATGCATTTGAAGTCTGTTTTGTGTAAACTTCATTTATTTTTTAATTACGCAATGTAAAATAGAAGAAATGTTTAAAATTTAGATCAACAAATTGACTGCCCATAAAATATCTTATTGATTGGTCATTCTTTGATGACTCATAAAAATTATCAGTAATAGAACGGTCGCTACATGATATTTTACTTAACCTGTACGACTGATTTCATCGTTGTAACTCCCAAATATTGGTATTTCTATTGAATTGCTATTATCTGTTTCGGTTATCATTTTAATATGCTCTTTGTTTGTTTAAATTACGATCAGATGTTACAAAATAAAAATCCAAAAGTCAAAAGAAGTCATTGCGCCAGAAGAAAGCAAAAAGAAATTTATACAAATAAAAGTTTTGAATTGAAAATTAATAATTGTATAAGAAAAATTGTGTAAAAATAAATTGTAGTGAAATTGGAGTGATCTATGGAATATTGGAATATTATTATGGAAGAATTAATGAAGCATAAAGC